CATCAGGAGACTTCTGCAAATTAGTGTTTAAAGGCCTTCTGAGGTTTAAGTTTACCTGAGATCTTTGTCATCCATCCTGGGGCTGTGCCTTGGGAACAGCCTGATCTCTGAAAAACCATGGTCTCCACAGGAGTGTTTGGGGTGGGGAACCCTGAATTGTCACCCAGATCCTCTTTTGAAGTCTCAGGGATGCATCTATTCCAAGTGCTAGGGACTTAGAGGATTTAGGAGAACCTATAGGTAAAGAGAAAAGGCTGCAAGTGTTAAAGACACCCCAGGTGCCTTTGGTGGCTTGATGTGGCCGCTTCAACCCTGCCTCAGTGATCCTCATACATGTAAGTTTGGCTTCATAGAGGAGCTACCAGCCTGTGATTCCTGGGTTTCCACAGCCCTGTTTTTACTCTACCTCATTACATTAGTGGTATTTCTTTATTTTCTGAAGTTCCTCTTCGTCCCTGCTTTATCATAATTAGCAAAAATACTGTTTTCTTGCACCTTTTTGCCCTGAATCCAACCTCTTTAGCTGTTCCCAAGGGAGGATTATTTTATAATAAATATTGAGACCAGAAGCTTTTTCAAAGGGCTGCTTTAGGAGAGTTGAGTGTTTAACTGATGAGGCATTCTTAAGGCAATGGTCACCTCAGGACGGCTGGGCAAAGCTGGGAATCCAGTTTGGAACACAAAGCAATGACCTCCAGGCCAACTGGTTCAAAGTCAATTGGTCTTTGAGGCTCAAACTGAGGAACGGACCCTGCCCTGGCAGGCTTAGCAACTAAATATAGTAACTATTTAATCAAGACAGGCACTCTTGACCTGCATTCTCAAGCTAGCTAGGCTTGGTCTGTGACTACTCTAGATCTCAGGCTACCTACCATGCCATCTATTCTTTGAGAATATTTCTAAGGGCCTGGGGCCAACCAAGAATTGAATTTTAGGACTGTTCCTCAGCAAAACTTGAAAAAAGCCCTGACCATCTAGAGAATTCCAATTGGGCTGAACTGTACCCACTGTGGACCAGGGTCCATTTCTGGGGTTCTTGTCCTGTTGGCATCATGTTGGACTGATGTGTTTTTTCCTCCATTCCCCTCCCTGCCTTCCAGGAGTGGGTGACTTGGAGAGATTTGGGAACTTATATCGAATACTGTTGCAGAAATCTCGGAAAGAAATACACAAGAGACACAGAATTCGGATAAAATAATAAAATTTCTTCTCCCAAGCGGGTCGGAATGCCAGAAACCAGTCTGGTCCGTATCCGCGCCTGCTTTGTTCAGCATTTCCCTTTTTATATCCTTTTTTAGCCATTATCTCATCCCTAGTGGTCTTTGATATGTAAATACAATTCCAGTTCCTATTTACAAGTCACAGACACAAGACAGGCCATATACATTGTAAATTCACCCTGGCATGGTAACTTTGTT